AATTTGGAGAATGTTAATACTTATTATTATTAGACAAATAGTAATCACAGAGTACCTAGAGCTAAATGCTACACAGGTACCTTAAATATTCAGAACATTCCTGCTGTACAATACTGTATTCCACATAAATGGCCCCCGGAGTTCTACGGCATGCAGGCCTGTATTTTTATTTTATTTAATCCTTATGATACTTCTTTAAAAAAAAAGTGTGATTCATTATTTAGACATAAGAAAAGTGAGGTTTAGGATGAGATGAATAAACTTGTCTAAGATCGCAAAGCTATTAGGTCACAGAACTGGGATTCAAATTCAGGTCTATTGATTCCAAGGTGAATATTCTACTCTATATTGCCATACTCCACTACTTTCCTCAAAAGGCTAATCCTCTAAGTCCCTTGTTATCTACATACTTGATTAGAAACCACCTAGTCCTTACTCTGTGTCCCTGAACTAAACCTTCTCAGCTACTATATATTATTATATACTTTACTTGAAGCTATCAAGAGCCTTCTTAGGCAAAGTTATTCAGTAAATAACAAATCTATATAATATCATCCAGGCAACATTTCTCTATAGTCAAAATCTTCCTCTCTCCACTCAATTATAAAACTCATCTTCTCTTACCGTTAATTAAAGTAAAGCCTGGAAATTACTTAAAATTAATGTTCTTAATTATGCATTTAAAGAATCTTTGGGGGGGTAAAACTTGGTAATACCTATTAAAATATTACCTTTTAAACCAACAATTCCACTTCCAGCAATGTGTCCTAAAACACATGTCTACAAAGCTGCACAAAAATATACATACCAAGAGGTTTATTATAGCATTATTTGTAGTAGCAGAAAATAGTGCACACAATATCAATGTCTATGAATAGGGAAGGGCTCCCAAAATGATGGTACATTGATACAATGGACTACTAAGCAATTCAAAAAGTGAGGAAGGTTTATAGGTACTAACATGAAAAAGATACAAAAAATTGTTAGTAGCCGTGGCCACTGTGGCTCAGTGGGATGAGTGTCGTTCCATGCACCAAAAGGTCTCTGGTTCAATTCCCAGTCAGGTACCATGCCCAGTTGCAGGCTCAATTCCCAGTACGGGGCGTGCAGGAGGCAGCCTATCAATGTTTCACTCTCACATCAGTGTTTCTCTCTTTCTCTCTCTCTTTCTCTCTCTCTCTCTGTCTCTCTCCCCCTCCCTCCCCCTTCCCCCTTCCGCTCTCCTGCTCTCCTCAAATCAATAAAAACATATTTTAAAAGTTGTTAGTAGTAATACTCTCGTGAAGTGGTTATTACATTTCAGTAATTTTTTTTACATGAACATATTCCACTTTTGTAGGCAGAATAAGCAAAGAAATTAAAAATAAAATGCACTAATATGTGTGACAGCCCTTGGAATCCCTTAAGGGCTATAGCCCAATTGCCCCCTACTCCCTCTGCATACACTCAAGCGTGCACTCAAATACTTTAGTGCCTTCCCTGTGCCAAGAAACATACTAGGCCCTGGGGATAACAAAGTCAGCAATATAGAGTCCCTACTTTTGTGGAACTTGCAATCAAAAAAGGAAGCAATAAAACTGAAGTGTGAGTAGTATGGTGGTGAGAGTACAGTGCGCAAGTGGGAACACAAAATAGGAGACCCTAATCTAGTCTTGAAGAAGAGCTGCACCAATGAAGTACCAGCACTTTTTCCTGAGAGAGGACTATCCAAAGACTGAATAATGCCATTGACATTATCAGGGTTAAGCTGACTCCACAGCCTTTGAAATCCAAAGAGCCAATGGCACACATGATGAGCACTGAAAAGAAGAGTCTCTCATTTCATGAAATCCACCAGCACTGTGACAACTGTGAAAGCTGGTGAACACGTAATATCCCTTTGATAAAGCCAAGGTGGAAACAAGAACCACTAGCTTATTTAGGAACTGACTCAGGAATTTGAGAAAGCAAATGCAAATCCTATGTGACATCAGCATGAAGATATTGATGAAAAAGTAACTTTCACAAACTTCTGTACAGTGTGACTGTCAAACAGAATTTACCACAGTTTATAACCTAAAAGAAATAAACAAGTCCTTGCTCATCACTCTCAAACAAGTGATAGGACAGACACAGAATACCAAAAACAGAGCCACAGTCTGGCCTCAAATCCCACGTTCACAAAAAAAGAAGACGGGAGAAGTTACCAAAAACATTCAATAGAAGAATAATTTTCAGAGCTTCACTATAGTTTCTTTCATTTCTTCACAATGCCCCCTCCTTTTTATTTCCAGACCCTGTTAACCTATAAAAACCTGTGGTGCATATTTATATATATATATATATATATATGTGTGTGTGTGTGTGTGTATATATATATATATGTATATATATATATTTTTTTTCCTTTTGTTCAATCCCTTCACCTCCTCATCACTCCCATCACCACCACTACCAGAACTGTCTGCCTGCTCTCTATCTATGAGTCTGTCTTTATTTCACTTGTTAGTTCAGTGTGTTCATTAGATTCCACATATGAGTGAAACCATATGGTACTTGTCTTTCTCTGACTAGCTTATATCACTTAGCATAATGTTCTCCAGGTCTATCCATACAGTCTCGCAAAGGGTAAATTTTTTCCCTTTTTATGGCTAAGTAATACTCCATTGTGGAAATATACTATAGCTATTTTACCCACTCATCTACTGATGGATACTTGGTCTGCTTCCAAATCTTGACTATTGTAAATAACACAGCCTCGACGTGCCCTCCTCTGTTAGTCCTTGGTTATAAGGCTTCTCTCCACCTTCTCTTCAGTTGGTTATTCAGGGTGATTTTTCTATACTTTAGTTATAATTCCAGTTTGGTCCTGGGAGGAGGTGAGTGTAGCTTCCACCTAATCAGCTGCCATCCTGGATCTCCCCATATTTATATATTTTTTAAACCAGTTCTGTTCACAGAGAAAATTCTGAAGTAAAGAGAAATCAAATACTTAAAGTATAAGTATACTATACTTAAAGTACAAGACTTCTATATAATTAAAGAAAGCATCCTTGAGTAATCAATTGCTAATGTTCAGTATATAAAAGAAATGGTACAAGAATCATAACCTTTTGAAAATATTAATCAGTGTTTCCATTTCATTCTTCAAGTATTGGTTATCATATTCTGCACCAATGAGAACACAAATATTAGTATGCTCTTCTGCCACACATCAGCAAAAATTCCCAAAAGCTGCTTCTCAAAAGCACCTTCCCACCTCCTCTGTAGCTAAAAATCACTAAAGGCAATTTTATCTTCTCTCTTTTATGAAAGTTTCTCCATGAAATATGTTAGTGCCGCATATACTAAGACTGTGGTTCTGGTTTGCTGCTATCTAGTTCTGCCAAGTTTCAGTTTGGTTTCTCTGTGTATAAAAAGATTAGGCTCTAAAATTCTAAAAATCACCTCTTAGCACTGATATTCAATGAGGCATAACTGTACATACACCAAGTGATAAAAACATAGTGTTGTGGAAAGAGTACAGTAAAACAGATCTGGATTCAAATTCCCTTTGACACCTATGAGTTTTGCATTGAGCAAATTACCTTTAGAGAATGATAATTTGCTACCTACCTATTATGACCAACAAACAACGTTATTTATACACATAAATAACGTATAAAACCTAGCCATCCGTAGTGATCACCCTCAACAAGTGATCATTTCCCATTTATCAGTAAGTTTTCACTCTTCAAAGTTTTCCCATTTTAATACTTTTATTTTATTGCTTCTAAACAAACTTCACTGACTACACAGCCATTTAGTTTTAACAAATTAGGAGGTGATTTCAAACACATTCATAACTACTTTATAAGAATGCATGCAAGATGATAATTTAGAACTGGAAGAAAATGTATTCACTGATACACTCAGCTTAACAAGTGTATGTACCGGTGTACCATACAAAACTGAAACAAAACTTTATCAGAAGTGAAGAACATAATCTTTCCACAATGTTCATGACCAAACGGAACATTAACTACAAAAGAGACCCCATCATTTTGCTTGGGGATACTGAAATCTTTTAAACCAAATGCTTTGACTTCTTTACCATCTTGGAGTGTTAGAGTTCCAATTACTGCTGAGCAAAATTAACAGAAGACATAACACTGAGTCGAGTTCACTCCAAAGAATGTGAGATGTGCTTTCCCCCCCCACTGAAATTCCAAGAAATTTTCAGTTGAGTAAAGCAAGTAAATAGTCAAATATCCTTCATCACATTTATAGTATGTAAACGATCACCGAGCAAAACCTTTACATAAGTCATGAAAAACAGCCCAATAGAGTAAACCCTAGGATAAAAAGAAGTCACATACTCATGGACTAGTATTCACAGCCTGCTTCAAATACCACAATAGCATTGCTCTGACCTATTTGTCAACTCTGGCACTCACTTCCTGGGAGAGTGAGTCTTCTAACCCAAAGTTACAAAGCTCACACATCTAAAGACTGTGCAGAAAAGCAGCGTTATTCATTTCTGGTACTATAAAGCAGTAAACTGGCTGAAATTTAAATTTTTGACTTGCTTAAATTCAAAATTCTCTTTCAGTCGTAACACCCAAGAACCTTTTAAATACACTTTTAGTTAACATCGTGATGTGTGTGGATATATAAATTGATCCTTTCTCCACATAAAAATAAACTTAGCTATACTTCCCCAAGTAGGAGCCAGTGCCTCAAAGGCCCTCTGGAATATGCTGCTCCAGCTTTATTTACTATGTGACTTGGGTGAAAAACACTTTTCTTAAATATGGAAAGGAAAACTACGCAGTAGGGACTCGAAGAGGCTTTATCAACTGTAAAGCCAAATCACTGCCCCGCAAAGGCAAGATTATGAAAGGTTCTCTTAGCTGAGGGTTTTTTGTTTTGTTTTTTTGTTTTTAAAACAAGAAGGCACAATCCGGGGCTCTGCCGTTTCCCCTGTCACCGCTGGCTGGACCTGGGCCGATGGATAAACTGGAAAAAGGTGATCAACATACCTGGAGGAAGCTGAAAATTAGCTGGCAACTGGATTGTTGTGGTGTTGGGGGCTTTCACGGCGACTATCTGAGGAGCAGGCAGCCCGGGGCCGCTACTGAGTTTAGGAAGAGCACTGACAGGAGCCACTTTGGTCACCAGGGTCCCCACGGGGGGCCGCAGGGGCTGGGACACCGCGGACTCCGCGCAGACATTGACAGGAGCCTTAGTCACGGCTCCGAGGGCCACGGAAGTGCTCTCCACCCCGACGGGCAGAGCCCCGCCGGGGGCCCCTGTCAAGGTCCCGGAGGCGCTCATACCAGCGAGGGGAGCGGCACCGGCCGGCTCCGTGAGGCCCGCGGGCATCCCCCAGGTGATCAGCGGCAGCTGCGGCGCCGCCGTTCCAGCGGCACAGGCAAGCGGAGGCTTGTCAAGCGGCAGCCGACTCCGGTGAAGTTCCGGCTCCACAGCATCTCTAGGCAGAGGCGCTGGGGCCGCGCATAGAAGTCAATGATGGGCGCCGGCTGGGAAGGACGACACGCGCACCCGGGACCTCCGCGGGTCCGCGTGGCCCCGCCGGCAGCAGTATCTGCTCCGCCGCTTCCTCAGCGGCGCTCCCACGTGCGCCGCCTCAGCCTCAGTCCCGCTCCCGTGGAGCTCGGCTGTGCGGCTCCCGGAAGGGCGTCACGTAGGCTCTCACGTCCAAGCCTAACTCAGCGCCGCGGTCGCCCCGCCGGAAATTTCAAAACCACAAACCCGAGCGACCCAAAGCACCCTACGCACACTCGGCGCAGCCCAGCCGCGCGACCACGCCAGCCATGTTTATATAGCCACGCGGAGGCCCCGCGCACGCGCACGGGTCGCCGTCACCGCCCCGGGCTTTCCCCGGAATCCGGCCGCGTGATTGGCCACCGGCTGGAATCGCGCTAGTGACGTCACTAGGGACTGCCCCTGAGGGCGTTAGAACCATAACCCTGAATCCGGAGGGAGGAGGGGCGAGTTGCCGAAAGTCTAGCGGGGGGGAGGGGGGAACCGCGCTCCGAAAGCTGCGGCATCCGCGTCCTCCTAGGTGTCCCCAGTTGCGCGCTCCTTAAAAAGCAGGGACAGGACTTCCCACAGGCTTCTACTTTATAAGCAAAAATTGCGGAGGACTGATTTTGGAAAACAGTAACTCAGTAACACGCTTTCTCAGGGTTTTCCTGAGGACTTCGCTCTAAAGCGTCGCTAAAATCACCATTACAATGGACACTGTGAATTTATTTGAAATGTCCTTTTTTTTCCTTTTAAGTGCTTAAGAATATTGTATCGTCTGTAAGATCCGCCTATTTTCATGTAAGTTTAGAGTTGAGCTGCCCCGAAGGAAAATCTTTTTCTTCCTCCGAGCTGCTTGCCATAGATGTCTTAATCACCTCCAAACTTCCTCAGATGATTTGTTTACGAGTCTTTCTCCTTGAAAACTGGGACAGTGTCTTTTGACGTAGATCTTAAGTGAAATCCTAGACATTCCTTGAATAAGTTAAAAGTGTTTGTAGAATGAGTCAATAATCCAGTCCCATATGGAAAAACCTGCCCCGCAGAGATCTCTACAGAGAAGATGTCTTGCTTTCAGGCTGTTGTAATAATATTACATGTTTGTAGAAACTGACACTAAACTGAAGGAGATTTTCCAAGTAGGCAGGCAACCTGACCTTTACAGCTTCTAGTTTGCACCCTCCAAGTAAAATCACGGGTTTACTGTCTCCCACATCTCAACAAGTCCAAATCAAGAACCTATCTCATGACCAAATCAATCGCATCCTTCCTCATTCCATCAAGGCTTACCTGATCACTTACCTTCTAGAAAACTCCTCAAAGTGGAATTGGGGGCGGGGAGGAAAACTAAATTAATTGAGCACCTCTTGGTGTGCTGGTCACTAAGAAATACATTTCCTTGTGTGTTTTTTCCCCCTCACAACCACCTTGCTTTACCAATTTAAAAACTGCATTTAAAAGAGTAACTTATCCAAGAAGTTGGATTCAAACCAGTCTGTATAATGTAAAAGTACATCTCTTTCCACTACTACACAAATGTCTGATTCATAATATATCCCACACTGCCCCTGGCAAAATGCCTTGCACATAAAAGGTATTTAAAAATATGTGCTAAGTGAATTAATTAAATGGAGCCATGCAACATTTTCAGTGAAGTGGATTTGAACCTTAGACTAGCTGGGCAAATTGTTTAGCTTTGGTATTTTTCTCTCCGTATAGGATAGTTGAATAAATACTTGTGGAAAGAACACAAAGTTTGCATTGAGAACTCTCCATTTTCCAACTTTCATTAGACCACCACCCTCGACTCACATATTTTATTTAGGTGTATAAATAACCTCAGTCGGGTTACAAAGAGGCTTGGCAGAGTAAGTATAACTTTCTTTTTAAGGTGACCTAGCACATTTTTCTTATAATTATTTGCTTTGTAATTTGACTCACTGATGGGAATTTTAATTTTCTAGTTGCAAAGAATATAGTCCTCCTTAGCACAGAAACTACTGTCCTGAATTTGGAGTTTGGTAATAAATATGTTTACTACCTTTCTTTTCTGTAGAAACATAATAATAATACAAGATATATAGAAAGGCAATATGCATTTTTATCCCTCTATGTAAGAAAAGAAGAAATGGAGGAGGAAGATTATATCTTGAATTTATTATGTTTCTCTGTTAAAATATTGGTAAAAGTAAAGATATTGAAAAATACTTATCCATTTACCTTCTATCTTAGTCCATTTGAGCTGCTGTAAAAAACAAACAAACAAACAAACAAAACATAGACTGGGTGGCTTATAAATAGCAGAAATTAAGCTCACAGTTTTGAAGGCTGGAGTCAGATCAGGGTGCCAGCATGGCCAGGTGAGGGTCTTCCAGATCGAGGATTTCTCCAGATAACCTCACAAGGCAGAAGGGGGAAGGGAGCTCTCTGGAGCCTTTTAAAAGGTACTGATTCCATTTACCAGAGCTCCACCCTCAAGACTTAAGCGACTCTCAAAGGCTCCACCTACTAGTACCATAGCTCTTGGGAGTGAGGATTTCAATATTAAATTTAGGGGAGATGCAAACATCCAGACCATAGCACCCTTAAAATGAAGGACTACATCATTAATTGTCCAAATATTCTGCTCATCAATTTAGGTAATGAAACAAAACTATGAACAAATACAAAATTTATATTTCCAATATTTTACTATTTTACACACACAACACACACACAGGAACACAATTTAACTTGGGGAAAGTGAAAGGCTAAGAGTATAATTATTGGGTAGACAAAGTAAATTATTCTTATAATCCTTATGACTTTTCAAGTGCCTATAGTCTCTTGAGAAAACAAAAGTTTACTACTCTAGAATTTAAAGAGGAAGCCCTGTTTATCTGTGAAAAGAGATTAGCTGAAAAATCTGCCTGAGAAGACATAACTATTTGGCGAAGATAGTCACTCAGCTTCAAAGTAATCAAGAAACAAATTCTTTCAAGTTTTATACCTTGAATCTGAATACTAATCGGTCATTGAGATTTACACTTGTAAAGGAACATTTATTGACATGGAAAATGATTATGGCATATATTGTTAAATTTTAAAAGGAGCTTATAAAATAGTATGTAAAGTATGATTTCATTTTTTTGTAAATAAAAAAACTTTTATCTAATAAGCAGGTAAATATATGTTCATAAGAAAATCTACATTATATACAAAACTGTTAACAGAGAATATCTCTGTTTGGAGACATTCTAAATGATCATTTTCTTTTTTATTTCTGTGTATTTTCTAATTTTTCTACAATGAATGACTAATATTTTCATACTAAAAATTACAAGTTTTTCTCTTCAAATATGTATTCTTAGAAACATTTCTGTAAGTACAGCTAAGTACTCCCTAGTCTCCTCCTCATAGTAACCAAGAAACCTCACTGAACTTCATGAAGCTGGACAAATATATTAGCCTGCTCAAGCTATGCCAAGCAGAAGCTTACTACAAACACTGCTTTAACCTAGGAAGATGGGCCATTTTCTAACAGTGTGAGTATTCACTTCTTTTTATTCCATATTAAGTGTAGAAAAAGTAATGACAACTTAAGAAGCCAGAATCCCAGAGATCATCTTTTCTTTTCTAGAAGATTCTGCAACCACAGAAGTTTATACTTTCACTGTCTATTAATAGCACTCATTTTCTTAAATTATATATTCTTAAATTACATATATAAGCTCCTCCTCCATACCTCCCTTCAGTCATTCATTCACATAACAAATGTTTATTGAATGTTTACTATGTGCTCAGCAGTAGAGACTATATCAATAAAATAAGAAAAGACAAAAACCTTGTCCCTGTGAAGCATACATTCCAATGGAAAAAGACAAAATGAAAAAGTATATTATATTAGATGGTGATAAGTGTCATGCAAAAGAAAATAAACCAAAAGCATAAGAAATACTATAGGTGTGTTTAGGAGGGAAGAAAGAGAAGGCAGCAAAGTTATATTGGGCGCTGTGTATGTTTTTTAGCTTTAACCCTGAGTGAGATGAAAAGGCACTGGGAAATTTTGAGCAGCAAAGTGACATTATCTGACTTATATTTTTAAAACCTCACTCTGGCTGCTATTTGGATAGACCAAAAGGGCAAGGATAATTGCAGAGAGACTACTTAAGGAAGCTACTGAAAAAGCCAGGCGAGAGATGATGGCTTAGACTAAGGTAATACCATTGGAAGTGATAAAAAGTGATCAAATTCTGGGAATATTTTGATGGTAGATGCAATAGATTTTTTCTAATAGATCAAGTGTGAGGTATACAAGAGAAGGTAAGGGTGATTCAAAGGTTTCTGGCAAACTGGAAGTATGAGTTGTTAATTGCAATAGGACAATTGCAATGGGGGTTGGGAAATTAGGTGCTCAATTTGAGATATTCTCATTTCAAATGCTTATTGATGTACAAATAGAGTATGGAATTGGAAACTGGGTATGCAAACCCAGAGTTCAATGAAGAGGTGCAGGCTGAATACAAACATATATAATATTTATATTCACAGCACTTAGATGGTATTTTTTAACACTATTGGACTCAGTATGATCATGGAGAAAAGGAATTTAAACGGAGAAGGGAAGAGGCCAGAGTCCTAATCTAATCCATTTCTCTTACTATTTCTAGATTGATCTTTCTAAAATGCAAATCTACTTATGTAACTCTCCCACTTAACAACTTTTTAACATTCCCCTCTTACCCGCAGGATAAAATCTCAAATAGCTATTATGTCATATAAGGTTCATTACCATCTGGTACCTGCTAATTTACCCAAGCAATCTCACTCTACCACGTTCCCATGGCCACCTTCCATTGGCATTATAGATAACTACAGGAATTTCGTAAATATCCTAAACTCTCTCTCATCCTTTTCATACATTGTTTTAGCTCCTTTCAAAGACCTTTCTTCCCATCTGAAACTCATGTTCTACCTGGCCAATTTTCTTTTTGGCCTTAAAAAAAGCAGTAACCTACACTGGATGAATTCAGTGCCTCTTTTTCTTCTCCCATATTATAGTCTTCAAATTGTTTTTCTTGTGTGTCCTCTCCTACTAAACTCTGAACTTCATGATAGCCGGGGCTGTCATGTTTTTCTAAGGATCACAAGAGAAAACCTAATAGTAAATACCTGACAAAAGTACTTCTCTGACTCCTAGCCCACTCTCAACCTCTATACTGGCTCCAAGGGGCAGGGAATTTGTCTTGTCTGTAAA